AACTTAATTACAAGAGATGTCAGTTTTCATTTTAACCCAAAACAGTAAAAGAGCCTTTTGTGTAGTTTTGGTCTATACTGAAGAAGAAGAAAGAAAAGTGGCAAAGTATGAATGGATTTTGAGAAACGGTTCTTTGATTTACCTGTCCAAGCTTTGCAACCAGGGTCATCCAAGAGACAAAAATTGAGAGTGAAGGCTGATTGATTCTTTGATAAGATGTACGACACTTCTAAAAGGTCATCAATTATTTCAGATGACCTACTTCATAATTGAGAATTCAAAGACTCTCTTCCTTATATCATAACCTGTGTACAGGGTTCAGGTCATTGCCAATAAGAAGAAATAAGAATACACGTGATGATGCAGAATACCGCTATTTGTGTGTGAAAATTAACTGATGCCTGGTAGGTTTTTGCAGAATTGTGGATTTGTTTCCCTTCGAATTAAAATTGTTAAAAGAAAGACAACAATTTTTATGTGAACAGGACCCGTAAAACAGGTCCTTGATTGTTAACGGAGGGACACCTATAGTAGTTTCATCTTCAAAACGTTCTGTTTCAGATTCTCTTTCGCGCAGATACCTTATGTAGCACTTCGGACAAATACTAACGTCTTCATTTGAGCTATCTATGACACCTTTAGTCAATACATGTATATCCAAAAGCCATTTATATTATGGATTTATTTTACATTTCGTGTTCCTTTGCATTTACGATATTTCGCGAGGATACGATGGCGACCTTCACCAATACATTTACTCTTAATTATGAGATGAGTATTAACAAATGAGTATGAAATATCCCGTAACAGCAATTTAAAAGCGAAAGTCTGGTGATAAAATGTTTAAGAACAAATTGTAAAAGTGACAAGGATATTACATTTTATCTTAAAATTGATTGGTAATAAAAACTCCATTAATCACGCCAAGTGATGAAGTAAAATTGAATTTGGAATTTGTTGTGACCTTACATGCAATGAAAGGTTTATTGTATTATATAGTACTTTTCACCAACGTTTTTGGACTGAATGTTTGCATACATATTTGAAATAATACCACTTCTTCATGCTATGAAAATGTTTGGTATACAAGAATAACAAGAATGAAAAATCCTTTATTTTACATTAACATTTTCACAAAATGTTCGATTACATTTTGGATGATAAATATATTATTAAAGCACTACAAGTAAGAAAGTGTCCCAAGTATAACGGTGTAAAAAATACTATTTTTTTCAGAAAAATACTTTCAGGCTGATATTCCATGTTCCGATCCCCATGCTGTAATTAGGTTAATGATTCAAAGTAGTAACATCAGATGTATAAAGGACTGAAAAGAGTTAAAACAGCAGCATAAATCTCGTAACACTTCTGAAACAAAAGTTATGAGGGGGGCAGGCTCCTGTGTAATTTTACCATATCCTATCATGACTGGCCCTTTTTCTCTTTATTTCTGTTTTGTATATTTTCCAAGCCATGTTACTCGTATGTTGTTTCAAGTCGCGTTTTCTTTGCATGCACCAAGAGGTTTCATGGCAATGTCAAAAAGATGTCCACACTTTCCCATATTGGGGGTAAGACAGAAAAATGTCAACCCATGTCATTTTATTTATCGGTGTCGACACAAAAGATAACCATTTGTTTGTGTGTTTTAAAGATGCATTTATTGTTACCGCTTCTTGTAGACGTTTTGTATTTTGTTTGTTGTTAATTTCTCGAGTTTTAACGTTTGTTGTTAGCTATCTGGTGTGACAAAAAGGGTATATGATATAAGGCGGTGAACTTTTCGTAAATAATTTAATCAGTGTCCTTTTTGTCAGAAAAATAACTACATTCGACCTTTCATGGGCCCGTATTCTCATGCTCAAGCCTGGATTTTGTGCTCAAGTCTAATATCTTGTTCCAGTTATAAATTATTTAAAAGATCTTATCTTGTCGAAGTTTTTTGAGGAAAATGAAGAAACTTGAAGCCAAATACTGTTTTCAATATTTACATTTGACTTTTTGATCGTTTGACATGATTTAGGAGAGTTACAAGAAAGCTGACTGACTTGAGCACAGAACCCTTGCTTGAGCACGAGAACGATTACATGAATACGGGCCCTGATGTAACACTTGCTAATGATAAAGGGGGGCTGGTTTGTTGGTTCGATCATTTGTTTGGTCCAAGACCTACAATTACATAAATATACAATTATCATACACTCACTCACACTTCATATAGTTTCACTTAAATATAAAATGAAAGGATGAAATAGATAATAGGAATTTATGGTACTTACAAGGTAGTCGTGCAGGGGAAAGCAACAGGACGTAGGTGGTCGGGTGCACGTGGCACAGTGCAATCGCCTTTCACCAAGGCGGCCGGGGATTGATTCCCCGATCGGACGTGAAAAGGTATTGGGTCACAAATTTTTGAAAACTTATTACATTGAAAAGCCAAGCATATTTAAATTGAAAGGACCACTGAGTGTGAATAATAGTATATATAGCTAAGTTGCACTCTCCAAGCATATGTATGTTACTGTTTCTATTTGTAATTGTGAGTTTGTGTAAGTGTTATTTTGTATTATGCACTGTAAAGTGTAAATATTGCACTTTTGTTTCTTGTAACTGATGAGTCGAAAGAACTTGAACATAAACGTCAACCTGCCCAATCACGTGGGTTTTCCCCGGGTATTCTTTATGTTTGTGAATCATAGACGCCTCGGCAACTGAAAGTGGGTACCTGGCATATGGAGAAATGACGGTCACTTTGCTAATTTGCATAATCCGCCATCTTGGATAAAATGGCGGCCATTTGGCCCATTGGGATAACATTATGGGCTTTAAGTTTTTGTGTTTATCGGCTGGATAGTAATCCGAATTTTTTTTGACGGGATGTCAAATTTCCCTACACACCGTCTAAATATGGGTTACAAGTTAATTAGCGCGATCCATTAAAAACTCGAGGTTCCTGGAGTAGATGAACTTTTGAAGCGAGGGCGCCTATATGTTCTATGCAATCGAATACTGGAAAACGACCAAATAGACATTTTCTGAACTTTCGATCAAATTTTTCGATGCTGTCTCCGTGATCTAGATAAGTTGCCGAGATTCGCTCGGTAACTTCCGGTTTAGAAAAACACAGTTTATGAGGTGTTTTAAGAATATTTGCAATATCCGAGGTTCCTGAAGCATTTGAAAAGTGGATTTTCTTAAATTTGACATAAAATCAAAGGGGCACCATAGGGGATTATGTAAAACCATCGTATTCTTCTGAAAATGAAAGGAGTCTCCATGTTTTTGTGACACTCTATCGACTTGAAAGAGGTACCAAAAGGATTCATATAAAGTATTTACTTATTCAATCCAACTGAATTTGATATATATTACTGTGGGTAGAAGTACAAGAATGCTTTTTTTCACGAACGGCCACATGATTTGAAAAAATAACTTACATTAACAACATCTCACTGATCTTACATGTTATTTGTAAATTATTTAATATTTCTTTTTAGTTATTTTTTCTAGAACATGCCGTGACATAAAGTTTGTCCCTGTTTCAGACAACGCTGTTAAATAAATGTGTAGACAATCTTTTATTCTAAGTTGGTATCACATATGAACGTACATGCTCGATCACCTCATAATTTGTATACGTCAAAATAGGAGCAAAAACGGATTTTCAGGACGAAAAATTAAAGCATATTGATACATGTACTTGAAGCTAATCCATGTTGTTATACTTTTTAATTTATAAGTCAATCCGTCTGCCTTATTGTTGAATGAGATATGTTAATTTATCAGTCGTTCCAACTAATTTGTTTTAATTCAACATTTGAAAAAGAGCTGGTATTCCAGCCTAGCCTCCGAAATGATCATCTGAGACATATAAATGTAATCCTTCTCTCCGGGGCAGTCTGGTTCTCGTAATGCACCTTTCATCTATTATATATAAATAAACATTGTCCTCAGTATATTAAGAAACATCCGTCAGCCCGTGATTATTCTGTCCTGATTGTTTTAGAATCTCTGTATCACCACGGACTTAGATAATCTAATTCCGTGGTGTCACGTATACCAACTGTACTACTGCAATAAATATGAGATTGCAATTGTCATATTTGGTATTGTTTTATTCTAATTATGCAACTTTTTTAAGATACCACACACTTTAATTTTGTACACAAGTTTGATCTTATAGGCTATAGATTCACTTGTTGGAATTTTAGTTTAAAACCAATCGTGCAGTTGAATTACATTATACCTTCGGGGGCCCCTTGAGCTTTCTCAAATTTCTGATTTTAAAACACAAATTTCTCGTTAACCACGAGGATTTTGTAGGTTAATGTTTCAAAACTAATATCTTAAATGCCTTCTTACATATAAATAAAATACGATTTGTATATAGTGTAGACGTAACAAGTACAAAATGCACATTGTTTATGCTCCTTCATCGGTAGTATAGAATGTGCGAGAATGACAGCTGTATATATTCCATATTTTCCCTTATATTAAGAAGTTATGTAACTCCCGTTCCCATTATCTTTGATAAATCTTGTTCAATGTGACCAGTTGGTTAATTTTATTCTACAGATTTGTCTTAAAATACGCCAAAATCGTAACTAAAATGAGCCTGGGAACAATTAATTTTCTGTTGGTTGCCATGGTGGCGCGGAAAAACTCTGATGATCACTTGATCAAACATGCTCCGCCCCTCATTAATATTCATGAGCAAAAGTGGCCCTCATTTCTCCATATGGACAACTCGGCACTTAACTTAGATATTTTTGGCACTTGGTTACCTCGATCCGAGTCGGCACTTATATTTTCGGAACTTTTTGAACTCGGCACTTTTTGAAGGCAGGTCGGTGTTTATGTTCTAACTATGGGTTTACACTAAGTGTATTGTAATTACCTCTAGAAATTGGTAGCTCTTGTGTACATTTTTGTACGTTAGGTTCGTTTCGTTTCATTTTATTTGTTAGTTTGCATTTTGTAATGTACTGTTTCTTTTACAGACGTTAAGAAATCCGATAAATTGATTAACCCAACCGGTATGGCGGACGCAGAAGACATTTTCGGCAGCGATGCTGAATCAGACAATGGTTTGTGGCACTGCTTACTCAGTGTGATCGTTATGAGCGGTAGTGATGATAAAGGATACCACGTCAGAAATTTGAATGCGTGTCTTTCGTAGATCACACTCACAGTAGTTAAGAAAACCTATTTCACGTGGCAGGAGAATGGACGTTTTCATAAAATCTTTTCTTCAGGAAACGAAACATGTTTTAATGTTTACGAAATGATATATTTGATGACAACTTGGTATTTATTTGAGACAAGTAAATAGACATCTGCCATAGTTCATTAATACTTGTATACTGTAAGCAAACTCGCCTATTATACGTCAGTTGGAGTATGAATTTGTTACTAAAAATAACCCAAATAGCGGTCAAATAGCTTTAACAGTAACTTTTGCAAGATATTATTAAAAATCGCATTAATTTACGACAAGCTAAATAATTGTGTTACTTTACCGGAAGTATTGTATCTATTTTTGGTACTTTCCCACTTGCAAATAAAGTTTATTTTTGTATTTGTATTATGTGTCATGACTGAATAGTGAATAAATGCGACTTGGTCGAACAATTTGAAAAAGTTAAGATTTAAGTGATTTGGGCTATTTTTAGTAACAAATCCATACCCATATTGGCGTAGAATAGGCGAGTTTGCATATTATAAACAAGTTAGTGGTTTTCCCCGACCTGCTCTGTAGCCCGAGTTTCCTCTGGCCCTAACACCAGACTTAGACATTTCGAAATATAGATGACTGGTGTGGGGCCAGAGTGACTGCTATATAAAAACCTGGAATACTCTGACACCGTTTGGTATTATTAGGCGCTGACAACAAAAATCTACTGTGACACAACACATACCTCACATATATCGATAAATGGAATATTTATTGATCCAAATCCAAACCGTACTGATCCAGACCATAAACAGATAATATCATTCTTCTTAAGAAGATTTCCAGACCGCATCTTTTTGTTGATTAGTCACTGCCCGATACAAAACGGTGTCAAAGAATTCCACGTTTTCATATAGCAGTGCATTCTGTCAAAATGTCTTAAGTCTGGTGTTAGGGCCAGAGAACACTCGGGCTAACTCGCACTGGAATTCCACCTCACCAAATGGCCAAGTGGTTAGGTCGTATGACATTCTGCTACCACTAGCCTTGCACCACTGGGTCGCGGGTTCGAGACCTACGTGAGGCAGACGCCAGGTAAGGTCGAAGGTTAGTGGTTTTTCTCCAGGAACTCCGGTTTTCCTCCACCACCAAAAACTGGCACATCCTTCAATGAGCTGTTAATAGAACGTAAAACATAAACAAACCAAAAAAATTCTGTAGAGCATAAGACTAGTAAACCAGAACTTCTTGGTTCGACTCCTAGTAGAGGCAATACAAAATAATGACCTCTGTCGCATTCATAACAAAGGACAGTTCGTTCCAATCAATAATGATTCTTGGGATAGAAGGATTGTTTACAGATAGTTTTCAAATGAAGTCTTTGGTTGGAGAATGAATGAGAAAACATTGCCTGTTGTTATTGAAGTTTGAAGATGTTTTGCTGGACTGAAACTGTGTTATGTGTAATTTTAAACATCATGGAGAGCCAGTATCATTTTGTATTTTATTAAGCAGCATTAATGTTCAGTTATTTCTATGTTTTTGTGAATTTGGTATCTTCTAAATTCACCATTCCTTAGATAAATTTTGCTGTATTTTCCCAAAATCAACACAAAAATGGCCACTTAATTTTCCTAGGAAAATAATTACTCATAATCACAAATCACAATATTCTACAGTTTTTCAAAATTCAGTGTTCTATTTCACCCAGAGTTGTCCTAGGAAAACACAAACAAATCCAACAAAACTATCAAATTGCAAAAGAAAGAAAATTCACACACAATGTAAACAATAATAACAGACGCCCCATATGGAAAAAAAAATGTTTGGTCTTATTTTGTTTAAAATCATTTTCAGTTCAATTCTTTAAAAATATTTTATTTGGGACTTGATTACAGATCATGGAAGTGGTGGTTCAGGATCTCCCGCCAGAAGTGGTTCAGGGTCTGAGGGCAGTCAGCACAGCAGTCCCGCACACAGCAGTCCAGCATGCAGCAGTCCCGCACACAGTGGTTCTGGTAGCCCACCAGGCAGCCCACTAAGTCATGCTTCAGGTAGTGTAGTATCGAATTCCCCCCAGGGAACCCCCACTCACAGTGGATCTGGCAGTCCCCCTGGTAGCCCAAAAAGTGATGCATCTGGAACTCCAGTGGGAAGTCCATTACATAGTGGAGCATCAAATTCTCCCCCAGGGAGTCCTGCACCTAGTGGAGGATCACAATCTCCCCCTGGCAGTCCTGTCCACAGTGGTGCTTCAAACTCTCCCAGAGGGAGTCCCGTACACAGTGGCGCCTCAAATTCTCCCAGAGGGAGCCCTGTCCACAGTGGTGCTTCAAACTCTCCCAGAGGGAGCCCCGTACACAGTGGCGCCTCAAATTCTCCCAGAGGGAGCCCTGTACACAGTGGCGCTTCAAATTCTCCCAGAGGGAGCCCTGTACACAGTGGCGCTTCAAATTCTCCCAGAGGGAGCCCCGTACACAGTGGTGCTTCAGGATCCCCCCGAGGGAGTCCCGCTCACAGCGGAGCTTCAAATTCTGCCAGAGGCAGCCCTGCACATAGTGGCTCGGTAAGCCCCCCTGGGAGCCCCAGGAGTAGAGCATCAGGATCTCCCATGGGTAGTCCCAAGTCAAAAAGTGGGTCACCAGTATCGCGTGGATCAGGGTCACCTGAAAGAAGTGGATCAGGAAGTCCACCTGGTAGTCCACACTCTGGGGCAGGAAGTGCAAGGTCAGGTTCAAGGTCACGGTCCAGATCTAGATCTCGCTCTAAATCTGGAAGTCGATCAAGGAGTGGAAGTCCAGCCAGTAGAGGATCAAAAGGGAGTCGCCACAGCAGTCCGCTGGGGACGCCTGGTGGGGGAAGTGGGAGTGCCCCTGGATCACGTGTGGGATCAGGTAAACTATATTATCGTTAATATTAATGGTACACGTCTTAGAGCCGAAGTTTATATGTTAAGTCGATAATAATTTAAAGTCAAAGAAAAGAAAATGACAAAGAAACTTCCTTGAATGTTATTAAAATCCGGTATTTTCAAAGTTGTTGTTTGGAAGCCAAAGCCAAAGATTTGCAACATGTCAACATTAGATATGTATCTGTGTGATATTTGTTGACAAATGAAATAATATAGCTATATGCCAATGAAATTCCCTAATCCATTATATCCTGCGTTTACTGACACTCTGATATTTGACACAGCACACAGTGGAAGTGACTCGGACGACTCCTTCATTGGCCGCAAGAAAAAACAGAAAGTACCTAAGGGTAGTGATGACGAAGGATCAGGGGGCGGGGAAAATGGCCAAACCGTTGAGGGTAAGACTACGTTAGTTTGTTACTGTTCTGAGTTATGTGTTATGACTGTTATTTTAGAGAATTTGTTTTCCATGTAAAATGCTGCTCTGTTTTCCTAATCAAATCATGGAGGTCTTTGTGGAGAAAAATGTAGAAAAAAATCACTGATGTCTATGGTTTGTGTTATTGGAGCAAATTGTGACACATTGAAATTTCAACCTGTTGATAAACATTACAGAGACGATTCATCAAGATTTCAGTATGGTGTTACACCCTGTTGTCACATTGTAGCTACTGTAGACGATCTGTTTGGAGATGCTGGTGACATCAGTTCAGATGAGGACGATGAAGATAAAGACAAGGAGGAGAGGAAATCCGACTCTGAAATAAGATATGGGGATGAAGACAGAGACGGAGAGAGAGTAAATATAACATGATGATAAAAAGTCTAAAGCGAGGGACATCAATTTAGTATGAAATTTCATTCACATAAACATGATTTTTGGGTATTTGTTAGTTCACCATCTGCTGATGGTGGGCTTTTCAAATCACGCTTCATCCATGGTCCTTCTTCTGTCTTCTGTCCATCATTCTGTCTGTCCTAAAATGATTCTTGTTAGCGCTATTTCTTAGAAAATACTTAGCTACGCATGTCAAATTTTGGGATTGATTGAAAAACCAAGATGACCGACAGGTGGCCATCTTGAATTTTGAAAGTTGGATCTTTTTAGCACTATTTTTTCAGAAATTTAGTGCCAGAGGTATCTTTCTCAAATTTTACAGAGCTACCTATTAAAGTGCCTGGGAACTCAATGATTTGGCCAGGATCTATCCATTTATCACCGGTTTTCAACTGACTTCTGCTGAACCAAAAAAGTCACAGAGGGCTAAAGATTTGTTCCTAATAATTATATTGATTGATTATTATTGATTATTGACCTTCTTTAAAGGTCACAGGGGTCAAACTTACAGAAAAAAATCAAATTTCTTGAGAACGATAAGACCTAACGGTATGGAGGTCCTGTATCTTGCTTGAGTGGATACAGATAGCTGTCGTTCCATGTTTCACTTAAGATATAAAATATAGCTCAGGAAAAAAAATTGGTGCATAACTGCAAAGTGGAAAGATGGTCTGTCGAAATCCGGAGGATGCAACAACATATTTTTGGCATTGGGAAAATTGTGTTTAATTTTGACTCATTAAGTCCAAGCACCAAATGAACCATAATAAAACCATATCCAAGATGTCCCAAAGTATGACGTGTCCTTTTACAAACAAATGCTTTATAGGTGTACAATACAGTGAAGGCTTGACCATGAATTTTGACTTGAAAGTATTGAAGTATTTCCTTTTAAACATTTGATATTAGTTACATAGCAGGGAGACCTGCCCATCTTGAGGGTTTGCTTTTTACAAGGGAGATAACTCCTGTTTTTATCAGATGCAAGGCGAGGAGGAGGAGGAAGAAGAGGAGCCCCCAGAAACCAGGATTGAGGTGGAGATCCCCCGCATCATTACAGACCTCGGCAAGACCGTCCACTACGTCAAACTACCCAACTTCCTCAGTGTGGAGACGAGGTATAGTACCAGACATGTCATTCTTCTACCCATTGGGCCTCTTTTTTTGGGTTTAATTTTGTGACAGAGTGTGTAATTGTAGATTGTTAACTTGTTCACCCCTGAAGACACATTTAAACTCGTCCCATTCAAAGGTTGGAATAGTTTATTATGAAATTTCAGGGGTGAATGAGTTGAGGAAAGTGTGTTATGAATAGTCTTGAATTTGTAATTTGCTTCTATTTTATCTATTATGTTTGCTGTAGTTCATTAAATCAATATCCTATATCAAAGAAATTCTTTAGCTATCTTCTCTTTGGGTTCAGTAATATTAATAAAGTGTCAGATGGTCCCAGGAAATTACATCAGATCAATTGGCATGAGGCAAAGCCAAAACAGAAGGTCAATGTATTAGGGAAAAGACCAATAACTAGGCCAATACAGAAACAACCAATCAATCAAAGGTTTATTAATTAGCCCTGTGACAGTCATAAAATAAAAATCAAGATAAATGCAACGTTATCATAAGTCTAATGTTTATTTTTAAATCACCCAAACAGTAAACAAATAAAGGTCTTCAGTCTCTCGCTCTGTGATGTCTGTATTGATGCTTATGTAAATAAGTCGCTTTCAGATAATGGAACAATTTTCTGATTTATTTATAAACAAGGATTATTGACCACTTCAATAAATGTAAACCCATTGACTGAATGAATGTCGAACTGCACAACTCATGTTGAATTCGAAGTTGTGTTATTGCAATCTGCTGATTCTTCTCTGTCCGACAGGAATATAATACATTTACCATAAATTCATTCCTTCCAATCACTGTTGTTGAGACAACTCCTCATCTTTTATGTTTATGCTTCTATTTGCTCTCCATTTGTTAGTGTAAAGTTAGACCGTCCATTTCAAACACATCTCAGCAATGACAGAGGATATGTGAATGTCAGCATGCAATCGTTTCAGGCTAATGCGGTATGAACATTTCTGGTATTGGTCATGTTTTTCCTGTATTGGCCGACTTTTTCCTGTATTTAACGACTTTCAGATATATTTGTATTGCCTGGGGTATTGCAACATTACCAATCTAGTTAATTCAAAAATAAGAGAGAAAGTTTATTACGTTCCTTATATTGATGAGTTTTGTTTGTACAGGCCGTTCGATGCCAATGTCTATGAAGATGAGGTAGATGAGGACGAAGTGTTGGATGAGGAAGGCCGTGCCAGGACGAAACTTAAGGTAACGTCAGTCTGTTCAGGAGTTTAACATCATATTGGCTTCTGACTAATCTTTGTCACAATTTTATATAAAACAGTAGTTCAAGACTAATGAACATTTGGATGAGGTCTATAGCAGACCAGACTTCCTGTCAGGACTATAAACTGCTCCTGAACTAAATTACAACTGTTTTTGTGTGCAGGTTGAGAACACAGTAAGATGGAGGACAGTTAAGGATGAGGAAGGTGCCCCTATTCTAGATGATAACTTAGTACCATTGAAGGAGAGTAACGCTCGGGTTGTACGCTGGTCTGACGGCAGGTGGGTTACTTCCAACAGTTTCCAATGGCTTTATTAGGTACAGGTTGTAAATAATAGAAATTCAAAAGCTATACTTTAGATCTACTGCCATGTCTCAAGTTTGTTAACTCTTTCACCAACCATACTGGACTCATCCAGATCAATGCATGATAGAGTCTACTAAAGTTACAAAGGGTTAATCTATAGTTTTATGTCCTGTCTCAATTAGGTCATGATGTTTATTTAATTCTATGACTATGACAGTTTTCTGATAAAGGGTCAACTACACCCATTATAAAAAAGAATGAAGAATAGTTCCAGTCAGAATTTTTTGATTGGGAATATTCTCCCTTTTATATATGAATTTGAAGCAACAAAATGGAGTTTTCCGTGTTCATTTTTTTCAAGTTTTACAGCCCATAAATTGGGGGTTCCCAAAATCTAATCTAGTATATTACAAGTAGACAACCGGAAAGGGAGTACTTCAATTTAGTCTAGTATACTTCCAGTAGACAACAGGAAAGAGAGTACTTAAATCCAGTCTAGTATACTTCCAGTAGACATCAGGAAAGAGAGTACTTAAATCTAGTCTAGTATTCTTCCAGTAGACAACAGGAAAGGGAGTACTTAAATTTAGTCTCGTATACTTCCAGTAGACAACCGGAAAGGGAGTACTTCAATTTAGTCTAGTATACTTCCAGTAGACAACAGGAAGGAGAGTACTTAAATCTAGTCTAGTATCCTTCCAGTAGACAACAGGAAAGAGAGAACTTACATCTAGTCTAGTATACTTCCAGTATACAACAAGTAATTAAATCTAGTCTCGTATACTTCCAGTAGACAACAGGAAAGGGAGTAATTAAATCTAGTCTCGTATACTTCCAGTAGAAAACAGGAAAGAGAGTACTTAAATCTAGTCTCGTATACTTCCAGTAGACAACAGGAAAGGGAGTAATTAAATCTAGTCTAGTATACTTCCAGTAGACAACAGGAAAGAGAGTACTTAAATCTAGTCTAGTATACTTCAAGTAGACAACAGGAAAGAGAGTACTTAAATTTAGTCTCGTATACTTCCAGTAGACAACAGGAAAGGGAGTAATTAAATCTAGTCTAGTATACTTCCAGTA